GCACCCCCAAATTAGTAATAAGGTTGATGTTTAAAAATACAGACAAACCGATGAAAGATAATTTGCCTACTGCACTGACATCACAATCTAAGCATGGGGCAAGCCAATCCACAGGTTATTTTTATATAACTGCGTGAGGCATTTCCAGAGCAAATAAAGTTCATTGGGCAGGGCAGCAGCCATGACATCTTGTTTCTTTGTGTGCTTCAGCCTTTTGAAATCTTCTCTCCTGCTTTGCATTCATGGTCCAGAGACATGAAGGCCATTCCTCCAGCATGGCTCACAAGCTGCTGGGTCAGGAGCCTCCCGGATGTGATTCTATCAGATGCGGGGGAGTTGGGGCAGGGATTCTGTTCCCCAGGCTGTCACTGGCCTGTGGTGTTGATGCTGCGATAGCAAAGCTCGCTCTTGGTGCTCTTAGATAGGTGGAGAGAGCCCTTTGAAGCTCTCTGCCTATCCCACCTTTCTTCTGGTTGTGAGCTTCTGGGGGAAGCAACTGAGTTGGCCTGCACCTTTTTTTGTGGCCAGTCCTTTGGGTCACCAGTCTTGCTGAAGTGTTCTTATAGTCTAAATAACAGGAATACACTTGTTTTGGGCTGCAATCCACTGAGTCATTCACGGTTTTTGGAACACTAGTCCAGTGCTGTTCTCTCCTTGGGTGAGATTCCTCTGGTTAACTGTTGGTGTCTGCAGTTCATCCTTGCCTATCATAATAGTCAATGGGGAGGTAGCCAGTGCTGTCAGAAGAGGCAAGGGTGCAAATCCATCTCGACTCACCCAGCCTACGCTTGGCCAGATGAATCACATCCTTAACTCCGTTGACCAAATCAACTAGATCCCTGCTGATTACAACAGCAGTCTTGTCAGACTGCTCAGAAGGAAGCGTCTGCAACGTGGGCACCCAAGGGGAGATGAGGCAGCCTCCAGCCGGGGGATGTTTCTCTTGGTCCACTCATCTGCGGGTTGTCCTTCTAGTGAATCCTACTGCCTTAAGGCCAAGCTTAAGCACACAGCTCTGCGTGCTACTTCCCTCCTTCCTGCTTTGGGGCCATCCTCAGCAGTGCCTTAGGTGGGGCAGAAGTCAAGGTCTCTGGGATGCTTTGAAGAGAGACCCCACATGCTGCAAGCTCAGCTTTCGCTGAGATTTGGATCTCTAGGGACTGATTCTTGTAATACCTATATGCTGCTTTGATGCTTTTCCTGCTTTAGCAGAGACATTGGTGTCACTTCCCTCTAACAGACACCAGGACACCGTGCACAAGGTGCAGTGACTGTAACGCAGCCCATGAGACCAGAGTAGAGCCCAGGTGTGTAACCAGATGTGGAGGCTGCCCTGCTAATGGCTTTTGCAGCAAGGCTTTCCCTGCTCTCACACGGAGCAGCGGCGTGAGAGCAGTGCTAATGCAGCCTGAGCAGTCCTCCCCGTGCTGCATCTGCTCCTGGAGATGGCCCTCGCCCTGGATCTGCCAGCGGAATGCCTTCTGCAGCCTGCCCTGCCGGGATTTCCAGCTCGGGTATTATTTATTATTTAGGAGTGGAAAGTCCTCTGGGACACTGGGTGGATGCATGCTGCTGCATTAAATAAAGTTGTTCAGACATGACATGTCGCTAAAATACTATGCGTGCTTTCTTTGGCCATGGATGGAGTCAAGTAAATAATTTGCTACAAATAAATGCACTCAAGTAAATTAGCACTCATGGAATTCGGGGCAGGTTTCTCCTCCCTGGTGGTGGGTGGCCAGTGCTACCCCGAGATAATCCTTACCTTTGGCAAAAGCCTTGGGGCAGTGGGTTTAGTCCAGGGCCAGGGAAGGTCACAGGATTTTGGGTTCCCAGAGCTGGGAGATCTTGCTGCAATCTATCTTGGCTGATTTTTCTGTTACTTACACAGCCAAGGAAGGATCTGTTGGTATCTGACAAAGAAGGATCTGTTGGGTGCAAAGCCCTGGCATCCAGTCTCCAGGTCTCCCAGCCTGTTGCCTTGCCGATGTTATCCCATCAAGGATGGCTCTCCTAAGAGTCTCATAATTTGAGGTAATGGCCACAAACTGAAGCACCAGAAATTCCACAGGAACTCAGTGAGGGTGCCAGAGCACTGGAACAGGCTGCCCAGAGAGGTTGTGGAGTCTCCTTCTCTGGAGATCTTCAAACCCGCTTGGACGCAGTCCTGTGCCACGTGCTCTAGGTGACCCTGCGTGTGCAGGGGGTTGGACTGGATGATCTCTAGAGGTCCCTTCCAACCTTAAGCATTCTATGATTCTGTGATTCTATGATATGCCAGAGATGCCTCATGTGCTATCAAAGAAAACTTTTTCTCCTGTTCCAAGCACTTAGACAGTGATTGCAGATGCTTTGGTTCCTGAACCAGCAACAGGGAGGTTGAATCTCTGAGCAAGGCAGATATTTTTCTCTGACACACTTCAGAGGATTTTGGTTGCTAGACTGAAGCAGAGCAATATGTTGGAAGGAGAAATGTAAAGGAAGAGTTTCGTGCAGTGTTTTTTATTTTTTCCCTTTAGTTTTCCAGTAATCGACTATGAATCACTTACTGCAGAAGGCTGCGCTCTGCCAGCAGTAAATAAGGCAAGGTGTATTTTCTCCGCAAAGTGTTTGAGCTGGCAACAAACCCATCTCTCCGGACATGATCAAAACGTAAATCTTGCGTTTGACTGCAAGGTACCCCAGCCTGGCTGGCTTTTTTGATAGCTTTTAGGGATGCTAGGAGGGCTGCCTACTTAAGGAAGTTTGGAAACACAGAACGTAGTTTGTGTGTTGACCCCCTGAATCTCTCCAAGCAAATCCACATGGGATATGTATATATACACTTTTTTCTTGCTTCCCTGCTTGCACAGGGCTGTTTTTGGCTGGTCTGTGTACCGCATAGTGCCAGAGTTCATGTGGTTATCCCGAGCAGCGAAGAATTTCCCAGCATGCTCCGGCAATCCCGAAACATTAAACGGCTTTCGGACTGGATTGATGTGGTCCCCTGCAGGAAAGAGCAGTGCGTCAGCGAGCGTTTCCAGGCAGGAAGCTGGGGTTTGTACGGGAGCCTTCAGGGCCGGAGGGGGAGAGCAGCGCGGGGCAGCACGGGGCTGCGGCGGGCGCCAGGCTGCACCGCGGAGGCTGCGGGACGGGTGTCCCTGGGGCTGCAAACAGGAAAGCCCTAAGGGGCTGAGGGTCACCACGTGGAAAGGGGAGGATGAGCCCCTTCACGTGTCCAAGCACTTGGGTATTTGGGGCTTTTGGTTTGCTCAGTGGTAAAAAAAAAGACACTTGATTTTTTTTATTATGTTTTTGTTGTTGTTTTGTTTTTTCTCTCCTTATCAGAGCTTGAGTGGCAAGTGCAGAACAGCTAACTCGGTCACTCTGGGTTAGCAGCCTGAGCTCACAGCTCATTCTCTCCTCTGTTGCCATCCCGGGAATGGTTCAATAAGAAAAGGAAGAGCTCTGCAGCCTCCCCCAGAAAATGGGAAAGCAGGATTTGGCTGTAGGTCGATCTCAGATTCGCAGACACAGTTGGGCAACTGCCTTTTAGAAATGGGTGTAGGGAGGAATTAGTCATCCCTGTTTGGTTAATAAGTGGCTCAGTTATTTTACAAGTCTTTTTCCTGCATATGCAAATACTTCTTTCCTTTTGTACTGAAACATAAATAACTTCTTTCTTGGATCTTCCGTGCATGCAATTGTCATGAAAATTATCACTGAGCTTTGGCCTCACCTTCTTTAGTAGCTGCTTTACCTACCTTTGTTTCAAAAGAAGCAGCTCCTATGTGTCGTCCAGGCATGAGCCCAGCGGTCGGTGTGGTGGCTTTAAATGCGTCTGAGTCTGCAGAGTGCAGCTGCAGGTTGGGGCACTGGGAGCAGCAGCGTCTTTGTCTCAGGCAG